GTGAAACTGAAGGGTTTGCCTCTTAAAACCTGCAATGTGGCAAAAATACTTAATTTGTCATTATTTATTCAAGGATTGGATCTTCTGTTTACATTTTAACCATAACAAATTATGAAATAATCAATATTGCTCATGATTTTATGTATTAAATGGGGGATTACTGGTCATGATACAGGCATGATCCAGATTCAGGAGGGAGTTGGGGGTTCTTTGGAACTTAAAGGAGTTGCACAAGACTTACATCCAACAGTGACTTCTTTAGTGGCCCCATGCACAGTGCCTCTGGAAAATATTGACTCAAGGGTTGATGATCCTGAGCCAGAAAGCAAAGGGTGTCTTACTTCAGTGTCAAGCTTGTTTAAAGAATCATGGGCCACTTTGCTTTCATATACTAAATCTCAACAGCAGTTTCCTCTATATTTTACTGCAGCGATTGTTGCCATTGTTATCCTAATGCAGGCAAGTTCATCTAGGTTTTGTGTTGCTTCTATTTTATTTTTCGTAATTTCTACAAGCTATTATGTAGATGTAAGGTTTTAAGGGCATTGCTTATTATACGAAGTTGGTTTAAAATATCTGTTGAGTGAGTTTCAAGAGTGAAGGAAATAGTTCCTTTTTCTTCTACTCCTTTTTCAGATGGTTAGATTGTTAACTATCGATATCCAACTGAAGTTCTTGAAAGTTGTAGTTAAATGCAATTTCTGATAGAAACCTTCATCGTATTTCTCATATATGCTGCTTAATCAAAGAGAATTTCGAGATGTGTTTCTTCCTACTTGCACGGGGAATTGCATACACAAAAATCTAAGTGGTTCTTCAATGCATTATACGTCACAGAAATTTTTGCAGTTAGACGTGTTTCACAACTATCTGGATGGTTTTTAGAATTCATGCTCTTTTTTCATTGATTGTAGATAAGCATCATTATTCTACTAACTAGAGTACCCGAAGTTCATGTTGTTACCCAAGGGAATCAAATCAGTGGTCTTAGTGGTTATAGAGCAGAGAATATAGAGTGGTTAGAGAAACGTGTTGACAACCTGAAGGAAGAAATGCTTATGGTGGAGTCTCGACTGGAAAGAATGCATCATGAACATTCGTTGCTGAATAAACATTTGCAGAGCCTTGAGAGGTTCAAGCCCAAGTCATGACTTTTACTGATCTATTTCTACCTTGTGTGCATACTGTGAAGGTAATGTGTTCCCTTATAGTTGTTTTTTTCTGCAAAAAAAACTTGGGATGAAAGTGTTTTCCCCCTTTATTTTTTTCTTTTTTCTCCTTGTTTCTGTGGATTGAATATGTTGTTATGCCTGTACGAAAGAACATACTTATAGTGCAGAATAGATAGAACTTGTAAAATTAAACTGACATTGCCAGATGAGCAATTTATTGTGCCAAATATTTTTTTTTTCTTTTTTCTCATTGGAAGACGTACTCTCACATTTCCAGAGGTCTTATCTTATAGATGTCAAATTTTTAGATGTACCTTTTAGTACACAGGTAATTGCTGGCCGATGTCGCTATGGCTAAAGAAGAATAATAGAGGTGATTGTTCTAAAATTGAAAGCAAAATTTCCTCACGGATGTAAGTTTGGAGATGTAGCCATACAGGACATTCCAAGAAGCTCCAGGATCCTTGTAAATGAAAGTACGCATGAAGTACACAGGTGATTGCTGGCTGATGTCACCTGTGACTAAAGAGGAATAATAGAGGTGATTGTTGTAAAATTGAAAGCAAAATTTCCTCACGGACTAAGTTTGTAGATGTAGCCATACAGGACATTCCAAGAAGCTCCAGGATCCTCGTAAATGAAATTATGCATGAAGTACTATGGAGAATAAACCAGCAGAATTCTTTCCACAAGGATTTGGACAACTGAGGTTCGACTTTCTTAACACTTGCTCATTCGTCTCCTTCCCCATTTGGTAGTTCTTACAAAATACCGATATTTTGTTCTCTTGTAAAATTTTCTAGAGGTCTTTGTAATTGGCATAAAAGCATGTTTTATATTTTTAGTCCTTGGAAATATGAGTGAAAAAGTGGCACATTATCTTTATTTGAGTAGTGCTTTAGCTATCCAGCAGTCTGTGACACAATTATGCGGCCTGTGGTTCAGTTGAAGGTTGTTATCTCCATATATTTGCATTACAGCAGGTGTACAATGTCCACATGTGCTATTGGTGGAGTCTTATGTGGTCGGAACACGTGACATTACCGCACTTTTTAATTTCTTTAGATTTGTATACTTTGCTGACAGTTTTTGTGAAATACTATTTGCTATTACCATCAATGTTTGAAAAAGCGGAAGCGTAAGGCAAAATGTTCGACCCTTTTATGGAGCGAGGCATAAGGAGTTAGTATATTTTAATTTTAAAATATAAATGTTAT